CCTCTCTGTTCCTGACTGCTTTCTTCAGTTGGCTGCAACCCTTCCCTGGGAGCTGGCTCATTCCTGACGCCAGGGCTGATCTGCTCTGGAAAACGCTATAAAAATATTGCTCCCAATGCAATTTCCCATTGGCCACAGATCGCTGCTCTACAGAGCCCCCTGGTGTCACATTTTTACAATGCATTTTTAACGTTGCAACTCACCAGTGTAGATCAGCCCCAGGTGTCCCCATTTGGCCCATGAGGCTGTTTTAGTGAAAACACACCCACTTGCCCCACACTTGACGTGTGCTCCTGCTAGGAAATGGCTGGCATGCCTGAGCCCTGCACAAAGCAGGATTGTACTCTCCAGTTATCAGCTGATGCAGCGAACTGGCTAGCCTGTCCAAACCCTTGCAGGAAACAAGATTGAACTTCCCACACCAGCTTTGGCAGGTGGGGTGGGGAAGCACCCATCAGTCACCTGATGTGTTAATATGACGTCAGGTAACTGACAGGTGGGTCATTCCACCCATCTGTCAAAAGTTGAACTGCCAGGGTGGGGGGGGAGATAAAGATCTGGCCCACTAGGCCAAAAATACTCCCCATTCTGATTTATCTTGAGGGGCAGCAGATCTCCACGATTTCACTTAGGGAAATGATATACAATGAATTGAAGAAGAAAAAAATGTTTAAAATAACATTTGTAAAAACAACAACAGCAGAAGCTTTTTTATTAGGAATTCTAGGTACCGACATTTCAAAGGAGCAGAAAAGACTTTCCATGCAAAATTAATGAATGTTAGAATGATGTTGGATTGAAGTTAAGGGGTTTCTAGCTGTACAGGCTAAAACAATATGGAAAAATTGGTTTTAATATGTAAAATTAAAAATTTAAAGTTATATTATATCAAGATTAAAGATTAGGATTAAAAAGGAGGGAAAGGAATTGTTGGATTAACATATTTTAATTAGAATACAAAAGAGGGAGGTAAGAGGAGGTCCGAGAAACAAGTAAATGTAAAAGAAGTGAGGAAAAAATGAAATTGTTTTTAATTGTTTTTTTCCTTTTTTCCTTTGTATTTTTTCTTTTTACTGTTAATTTTTTCTTCATTAATGTGGTTTTTTTCTTGTGAAATTTTAATAAATATTATTTAAAAAAAAGAAAAGAAAAGACTTTCCATGTATGCGACAATAGCCGTGCGGATGTTACTAGCCCAGAGATGTAAAGAAGACAAAGTCCCTACCAGAAAGGAATGGAAAATTAAGCTGTTGGGACTATGCCAAAATGGCAAAACTGATTAGAAAGCTCAGGAACCAAGAAGACCAAAACTTCAACAAAGAATGGGAAAAATTTATAATTTATCTAGGAGACTACTGTAAACAGATGAAAAGATTAGCGGGATTTCAATAACACTTCACTTGCAATGTAGCAAAATTTATGGATAATATGGAGAGATATAAAATATGGACGATGAAATAATATGCAGTTGAAAATGTTGACAACAGGACCCATGGAGGAGATGGTGGGAAGTCTGGAGATTCAGAGAAATCACTAAATATGGATGTATATTTGGTATTGTTATAAATTTGCACTTGTAAATTCAAATAAAAATTATTTCGGGGGAAAGGGAGATACCAAGAATTGAACCTGGAACCTTCTGCATGCACAGAAAATGCTCTGTTACTGAACGACGGCCCTTCCGCTTTGATCCAGATGATCAAAAGTCCTTAGATGAGCCTAATCAATTGGGCCCATCACCATCATTAAAAATCTATTGCTATGGACTCCTTTCATTTGACTGCGGAAAACACAGTGAGTTGTTGAGTGTCCTCTGCAAAGAAGATTCTCAGTATGCTTATATTAACTCTACCTCCTGCCCTGGCGCATTTGCTAAAATCCTCAGCTGCAGCCCTGCAGTCTCTTCTTATTAAAGTTGCCGACTTGAAGCCTGCCCAAGGTGACCCATAAACATTAAAGAACATCACCAGGCATGGTCTGAATTTTATTTGGGGCATTTCCATGATGTGGCAAAAGACCCCCCGCCGGTGAGCGCCACCATCTGCGCATTAACTCGATTTAAACGAAAAAGCCTTCTCCCCTTAATGCTAGCGGAGAGGGAGAAGGAAGGTGTTTTCGCTGAATAGCAAAGCAGTCTGAATTCTGACGTGGAGGAAGCAGATGAAGTAATAGCAGGCAGGGGAGCAAGAAGGTGTCTGGGCAATAGGGGGAAAGGAGCCTGGAACAAAGCAGAACGGGAGTGCAGGAGGTTCAGTGAAAAGGCACTTAATAAGAAATCAATCGATAGATAAGGTTAAGAAAGAATGGGAATGCTTTAAAAATTACTTGAATAATTATGGTTCCAATAATAACACTTGGCTGTGTTTAGACTAATTTCGCAGGCAGAGGTATCACAAGATGGAGACAAATAATTAAATGCAGATCAAAAACAGAAATGGCTGAATTGAAGAGTAGACGGAAAGTCAACAAACCAACAAATTAAAAAATGAGGTTCAATCCAGCACCAGGGACTTTGTGAGCAGAATACCCTGGTACCGGTTTGAATTAATTAAATACTGCTTTTTGTTTGATAGGTACGTTTTAGTTTCGTTAGTTTTTCAGGTTTTGTCGTCGTGCATTTTTCTTTTTCTTTTCTTCTTTTTCCCCTCTCTTTTTATTTCTTTTATATAATACACATTTATTCTAGATCTCTTGACAATTTGATTATGTATATTGTAATAACTATCTTAAGTCTAGAAATATCTAATGTAAGATCAGTTTGTTTTCTGTTTTGTTTTTTGTATGTGAGGTTTGTTTAATAATAATAAAAAGGAGAAGGCAGCAGAGTGCAGGTCAACAGCAGAGGGGGCTCTGGCATTAGATGAGACCATCTCAAAGGATGGGAAGTGAAGCCAGTGGTCTAGGACACATCAGCGCCATACATTTAAAGCAGTGTTAAACCATTTTAGACAGTCATGGTTCCCGCCCCCAAGAATCCTGGGAACTATATTCTGCTTATTGTGCTGTGAGTTGTTAGGAGACACCCATTCCCCTCACAGAGCTACAATTCCCAGAGCGGTTTAACAACCAATCCCTTTTCCCAGGGAACTCTGGGTGTACACAGGACATTAGACAGCCACAATGGAATGTGGATGAGGAAGAAATCAAATTCAGTTTGCATTGAAAGGTTGATACACACTTTCTGAAACAATACGTGAACTGATGAGTCGTCCTTCGAAATTACATTTCTCCTAATTTTGCAGTGCAGTTCTTCAGCTGAGTAAGTCAAATAACACATGCAAAAATCCACACACCAAGGTAAAGTAGGCATGAGGAATGAATTATATTGGGAGAGATTGCTTGCAAAATGGTGGATGTCAGGCTGAACGGCATGCAAAAATGTGTATGTATGCAGGTCCAGCTTACCAAACAGAAAGTGTTCCATGGAAACCTTTTGTTCACATAATGAGTCCAGTGTTTTCATTTTTTCCTATGGAAATATTTCTAATGTGGGATTTGTCCAATCTCTCCCCCCCCTTCAATGGTTTCTTCCTTAAATAGCTGCAACCAATCAGCAAAAGAAGGACAGGGGGAAACACTGATCTCTCCTGCTCCCTGATTTGTCAAATATCTCCCCCTCCACCTATCTGCCTGAAAATGGCCGCCACTGACCAGCAGAGCACAAACTGACAAGGAAGTTGGCTGTTTGGATAAGTGAATCTATGGAGCATATAATGAGGTTTGGGCAGAATTCTTTACATGCAGATAAGTGAATTTTCAGATAGTGAGCGGGCGGATAATGGGACTTAATTAGAATTCTGCACTGAAAGGCTCATGAATTTTCATGATGGCTGGTTGGTTTAAAGCAGGCGTGGCGAAACTTGGCCCTCTAGCTGTTTCGGGACTACAATCCCCATCATCCCTGACCACTGGTCCTGTTAGCTAGGGGTGATGGGAGTTGTAGTCCCAAAACAGCTGGAGGGCCAAGTTTGGCCATGCCTGGTTTAACGCGTGGAGCGGCGTGGAAACATGAGGAATGGAATGCAAGATTGGAAAAACAAGGAACTGAGAGAAACGGAAATAGAAAGATTAGCCCATCTCTACAAGGGGATGAAAGGGGCGCGGGTGGTGCTGTGGGTTAAACCACAGAGCCTAGGACTTGCCAATCAGAAGGTCGGTGGTTCAAATCCCCGTGATGGGGTGAGCGTCCGTTGCTCAGTCCCTGCTCCTGCCAACCTAGCAGTTCGAAAGCACGTCAAAGTGCAAGTAGATAAACGGGAAGGTAAACGGCGTTTCCGTGCACTGCTCTAGTTCACCAGAAGCGGCTTAGTCATGCTGGCCACATGACCTGGAAGCTGTACGCCGGCTCCCTCGGCCAATAAAGCGAGATGAGCGCCGCAACCCCAGAGTCGGTCACTACTGGACCTAATGGTCAGGGGTCCCTTTACTTTACCTTTACAAGGGGATGATAGCAACGTGCTCGGGGAAAAGAAAAGGAGATAGGAATGAAAAGGCACCTTCCGCGGCCTAAAGAAAATGAATTTCACACCCTCCAAATCCTCAGAATTTTCTGTACACAGATACAGGCCTCCTCTTGCAAAGACACACACACCCATGCTCTGCAGACTTGCTAAGCTGACTTGCAGCTGCCTCCCTGTCATTGGAGACAATTCAGAAGATAAAACTGCATGCAGCTACTTAAAAAAAAAAGCTTTAAAGACATTTGCAGGTCACCTTAAAGGCGACCTTTCTGCAAGAGTTTCGCTTCTCGCTACTGTCATGCTGAGCGGTTCAGAGGCCTGCTGTGCAAGGGAGAGAGAGAGCTGGCGCCTGCTCAACTTTAAAATTGTTATTCTGTGCACAGAGGCAGCTTGAGATGCTGAGTGCATTTGAAACAATGTGAAGAGAACCTGCAGAAATTTTGAGTTGTCTGGTGGAACATGGGCACAGCTGCCAAGACAGAGAGCTAGAGAAATAGATATTCAGACAGACAGATCCGCAAACTCTATCTAGCACTGCAAGGGCCGTAGCTCAGTGGAAGAACACCTGCTTTGAATGCAGAAGGCCTCAGGTTCAATCTCCAGGTAGGTCTGAGGGAGAGGGACAGCCCTCACCATGAGGCAAGGTGAGGCATCTGCCTCAGGTGGCAGAATCTACAGCTGCAGCAGACCCAGCCTGTTATGTACTGAAGTTCTCACCCTGGGCCAGCAGGGGGATACTGTAGATAGTTATGCAAATAAGGGATCGAAAGTGACGTTCAGTGATTGGATAGTTTTAGAAAATTGTTACAGTTACGTTGTACTGGAGCGCTATATAAGCAGGCTGACTGAACCCTTCAGTTCAGTTCTGTTCTGTTCTGGCCTGGGAATAAACAAGAGCTGTTTGAAGAATCGCTGTGTCGTCTGATATGTTCACCCACAACTTAACATAGCCTACAAGGAATACTTTGTCTACTACTGCAGCTGCCACAGTAGCAGTGATGGCTGCAGTAGTGTACTCCTTAGAGGTCAGATCTGTTGCCCCCTCAGCATACCCCACTCAACGTCCCTCTTGGTGAATCGGAGGGGCTGCTGGTTTCCTCCATCCTTGTTCCCAATGCACATCTTCACTCACCCTTCCTTCCCTGGTGGGGTGGTACCATTTTGAGGTCCCAAAATGTCTTGGGGCACCTGGCTTGCCAGTAGTACATGTGAAGAGGATCTAGGGCAGAGGGCCTTCTCGGTGGTGGCCCCCACCCTGTGGAACGCCCTCCCATCAGATGTCAAAGAGATCAACAACTACCTGACATTTAGAAGACATCTGAAGGGAAGTTTTTAATGTGTGACATTTTAATGTATTTTTAATCTTTGTTGGAAGCCATCCAGAGTGGCTGGGGAAACCCAGCCAGATGGGCAGGGTACAAATAATAAATTATTATTATTATTATTATTATTATTATTATTATTTATTTATTTATTATTTATACCCTGCCCATCTGGCTGGGCTTCCCCAGCCACTCTGGGTGGCTTCCAACAAAGTATTAAAATACAGTAGTCTGTTAAACATCAAAAGCTTCCCTAAAGAGGGCAGCCTTCAGATGTCTTCTAAAAGTCTGGTAGTTGTTTTTCTCTTTGACATCTGATGGGAGGGCGTTCCACAGGGCGGGTGCCACTACTGAGAAGGCCCTCTGCCTGGTTCCCTGTAGCTTTGTTTCTCGCAGTGAGGGGACCACCAGAAGGCCCTCGGTGCTGGACCTCAGTGTCCGGGCAGAACGATGGGGGTGGAGACGCTCCTTCACGTATACTGGGCCGAGGCCGTTTAGGGCTTTAAAGGTCAGCACCAACACTTTATGTCCAAAGTCCGGTCCCAGGCCAAATCCGGCCTGCCAGAGGCATCTTAATCTGGTTGGTTTAATCCGGCCCCCAGAGGCAGCTGTGTTCTGGGGGTGGGGGGTGGGCTACGTTCCCAGTGGGTGGTTATGTGGTGCAGCTTGCTGACCCGCCCGCCAATCGGCTCTCGCAGCCGCTCACTGTGCGGCTCTTGGAACCGCCCACCCGCCGGCTCGCACATGCTCCCTGCTCTCTATCCCAGCTGCTGGTCAGCTCACACAGGTGCCCTGTGTGTGGCTCTCTATCGTGTCTGCTGGCTTCGCTCCTGTGCGGCTTGCTCTCCTGCTCGTATGCCTGTGGGCTCTTGGAGCCGCTCTCGCCTGCCTATGCACCCCATGGCGAACTTGTGAAAAGAAAGAAAAAGGTAAAAAAAACCTGTTGGCGAACGAACCCCCCCCCCCAAAAGTTCAACTTCAATCCTAAATAAAGCTCAACAACTGGCCCTCTTTGAAAAAAGTTTGGACGCCACTGATCTAGGGGTCTTAGTAGACTACAAGCTGAACATGAGTCAACAGTGTGATGCAGCAGAAAGGGGGGGAAAGCGAATGTTATCCTACATCGACAGAAATATAGTGTCCTGATCAAGGGACGTCATGTTCCCACTTTAGATGATAGCCATCTTCAAATATCTCAAGGGCTGTCACATGGAAGATGGAACAAGCTTGCTTTCTCCTGCTCTGGAGGCCAGGACCCAAAGCAATGGATTAAAGTTGCAAGCAAGGAGATTCCAACGAAACATCAGGAAGAACTTTCTGACAGTAAGAGCTGCTTAACAGTGGAACAGACTCCCACAAGAGGTGGTGGACTCTCCTTCCTTGGAAGAGGTTGGATGGTCATCTGTCATGGATGCTTTAGCTGAGATTCCTGCATTGCAGGGGGTTGAACAGATGAACCTCAGAGTTCCTTCCAACTCTACAATTCTAAGATTCTGTGAGAGACCAGTGTCTGAAACCCTGCAGAGTACAAGAGCATAGGAGGAACCTGCAGGATCTAGCCCAACATCCTGTTTTCACAGTGGTCCACCAGATATCTGTGGGAAACCCGAGTACAAGAGCCTTCTCCCCTCCTGTGGTTCCCATAAACTGTGGCATTGCTATACTTATGCCATGAAGGCACTAAGGTGCATGAGCTCCATGCTGAATCGGAACATGCAAATGCAAGCCATAAGACTGGAAGCAGATAAAAGGGTTAAAGACACGGTCCTTTGCCAGAGGTGAGACAACTGGGTAGCAACGAAGGACACCATTCAGGGTGTGTGGGCTTTTTTATGAAATCCTGGGGCAGAGGCCCTTGCCAGGGGGCCATTTGCATTTGGAGATCAAGGGCTAAGGGGCTCGCCTTCGCTTCCGAGGGGACGCCAGAAGGTGACGAGCTGCAGGGCGGCTTTTCAATCTGCATTTTGGAGTCAGGTTGTACAGCATAAAAGGGGCACGTGGGCTCAGGCTGTGACTCTGCAGTTAAAAAAAGGCAATGCATAATGCATCGCTATTACAAGCTAAACATCAGGCGCCGTCAGCCTAAACTTGAACGATTCCAACAGTGGCAGGAATTACACTCCCTTGCTCACGATATAAGCCTGGGGAAAGCCATATGCCCTGATCCCATCCAGGATCTGGGAGCTAATTAAGAATCTCTTCCAGCTCAGCCTCCTTTATTACGGCTCCTGAGAAGCACCGGCTCATTCAACCAGCATTGCTTGGTGGGGTAAAATATACCCCTCCCCACCGCCATCCTCTGCTGCAGGCTTGGGGGATATATATGTTTACTCCTGCAAAGCACATATCCTCTCATGGGACAATCTTTATGGTGTGCATGTCAGGGATGGTGCAACCAGAGGCAAAAGTGGCAGAGCGGCAGATGGGGAACTTGTCTTTGGCCAGCAGGCTACATTCCGTCAAGAGGCTCCCATGCACAACAACTCTCCATCAGAAAAGAGGTGGCCCTCTTAGAACACTTATAAGAAAGCAGACATGGATCAGGATCAGTGAGAGGTGAGGCTTAGGGAAGGGTCCCAAGGGCTAAATAGAGAGGCCCGCATAGCTCAGTTGGTTAGAGCATGGTGTTGATAACGCCAAGGTTGCAAGTTTGATCCCCGTATGGGACAACTGTGTATTGGCTGCACTAGATAACAACAACAACAACAACAACAACAACAACAACAACAATTTATTTATACCCTGCCCATTTGGCTGGGTCTCCCCAAATGCTCTGGGCGGCTCCCAACAGAATATTAAAACACGATAAAACATCAAACATTAAAAACTTCCCTAAACAGGGCTGCCTTCAGATGCCTTCTAAAAGTCAGATAGTTGTTTATTTCCTTGACATCTGATGGGAGGGCGTTCCACAGGGCGGGTGCCACTACCAAGAAGGCCCTCTGCCTGGTTCCCCATAGCCTCACTTCTCGCAGGGAGGGAACAGCCAGAAGGCCCTCGGAGCTGGACCTCAGTGTCCGGGCTGAATGATGGGGGTGGAGACGGTCCTTCAGGTATACTGGACCGAGGCCGTTTAGGGCTTTAAAGGTCAGCACTAACATTTTTAATTGTGCTCGGAAACGTACTGGGAGCCAATGTAGGTCTTTCAGGACCGGTGTTATGTGGTCTTGGCGGCCACTCCCAGTCACCAGTCTAGCTGCTGCATTCTGGACTGATTGTAGTTTCTGGGTCACCTTCAAAGGTGGCCCCATGTAGAGCGCATTGCAGTAGTCCAAGCGGTAAATAACCAGAGCATGCACCACTCTGGCGAGACAGTTTGAGGGCAGGTAAGTTCTCAGCCTGCACACTGGATGGAGCTGGTAGACAGCTGCCCTGGGCACAGAATTGATCCTTCCAAGACTATAATTTTATGATTCTATGATTCTATCTGCCCCTGAACCCGAGGTTTCCCAGCCTGGTTGTCAGACTCTCAAGGTTGACCTGAGGTCTGCATGTTTGTCTGCCACACAAACCCCCAGGTGGCAACAGAGAGAGATTGAATCTCCAGGTGGGCAAGAGCACCTTCCCTACCCAGGCTCCCTAAACAGATGAGAAGGAAGGATCCCAAGGGACCGGTCTGCTATAAAACTAATGAAGCTTAAGCTTCAGGGGCCCTAATTCCAGAGGGGCCCCCAAAGCGACTTTAGCCCACATTGATTCTTAAAAATGGATCTAGCAGACACAAGCTGAGTTGCATGACTCACATTGATTAATATTTTGTTGTAAGTATTTCAACAATCCCGAAGTTTGAGAGTCAATAGCACAGATGGGAAAGATTGAGGGCACTAGGAGAAGGGGACGACAGAGGACGAGATGGTTGGATAGTGTCTTCTAAGCTACCAGCATGAGTTTGACCAAACTGCGGGAAGCAGTGGAAGACAGGAGCGCCTGTCGTGCTCTGGTCCATGGGGTCACAAAGAGTCGGACACGACTAAATGACTAAACAACAACAGCACAGATGTTGTAAAGGTTGTTGTAAACAACCCCATTGAAGAAGATAACAGTGGTCCCACAGACCTCATTGCTGGCTCTTCATAACTGTTCAGGCTTCAGGCCTCCCAAAACATAGGTCCACCACGGATGTTCCCTTCATTTCAGGTGGACCTGGGAACACGCCCTTCAGCTAAAGTTTCTACCTTAATTTCCAGCTAGTGACACATTTGCTCATTTGTTAGACTTCATCTTTTTCATTTGAATGACATACTCTCAGAGGCTGCGGCTAATGTTTCATGTGTTGTGAATAATAATAATAATAATAATAATAATAATAATACCCCGCCCATCTGGCTGGGTTGCCCCAGCCACTCTGGGCAGCTTCCAACACATATTAAAACATAATGATATCATAATAATGACATCATTTGGGCCTCCCCTCTGCGACATCACCAGGAACTGCCTCCAAGTCTCAGATTTTGGCCCTGAAATTTGGCCGGGGTCTGAGCAGCTCCTGACCTACTATGCGGCCCTCAGCAAGGAATGCGGCCCCTGGCTGAAAAAAAGGCTTCTGCACACCCTTCATTTTAACCTGTTTAAATTTTCATGCCATTTAAATAAAGCCCTCGGCACTCCGAGGACTTTTCTCCCGGATCTGCCTTTGCTTTGAAGCAGGAATATAAACCCACGATTTCTCCTGGCAAAGTTTGAAGAAGCACACAAACGCACAGGCTATGCCTTTTCTCTTCACCAGACAAGCTAAATCGGGAGCCAGCTCAGCCAGCCATCTCTCTTCCTCAAAATCGAAGATTTATTGCTTCACTCCCGTCCTCCCCCTGTCAGTCTGGAGACCAGCCCCTGCCTCGCACCAGAGGGAGGATTTGCAAAGGAGGAGGCGGCAGAGGATATATGTTGCGGCTGTTACCGTGTGCTATTATCACGCCTGAAAGATGGGGGTAGAGAGAGAGGGAGAAAGCTTAAAGAGTAATTCATTCTGAAGGCTCTAATTCCCAAACACTTTTCTTTGGAGAAATGCTGTACATTAATCATGATTAATAGGCATGCAGGGACCGTGGCTCGCTCATTTTGACACAGTTATATTCCACCCCATCCCTCTAGACTCCCACCTTCTGTTTCAGCACTGACACCGAGACATTATCACAGTTTCCTCTGACCAGCAGTGGTGCTCCGTGGTCTGAGGGTGAATCCCTGCTACTTGGGATCCTTGACATGGCAAGGATTGAACCCGGGACCCTAGCAGGCAAAGCACGTTCTCTGTCCTGGCACACAGCCCGAGGCACACGGATGAAGCTGACCGCAACAGAGGCACTTGCTGGTAGGGCAAAGTTACGTCTGATAAAGGCACAGAAGAACACAATGGGAGCTGTTGTCTCAGATCGGTACAGAAGCCTTCTGCCAGAGAGTGCCGTTGCTCTGTGGAAGAACACCTGCTCTGGATGCAGAAGAAGAAGAAGAGAAGAGTTTGGGATTTGATATCCCGCTTTATCACTACCCTAAGGAATCTCAAAGCGGCTAACAATCTCCTTTCCCTTCCTTGCCCACAACAAACACTCTGTGAGGTGAGTGAGGCTGAGAGACTTCAGAGAAGTGTGACTAGCCCAAGGTCACCCAGCAGCTGCATGTGGAGGAGCGGGGAATCGAACCCGGTTCCCCAGATTACGAGTCTACAGCTCTTAACCACTACACCACACTGGCTCTCAGGCCCCAGCATCTCCAGGTAGGTGCCACGGACTGATTTGATGCAGAAGAATGGTGGGACAAACCAACTAGGGAACCACCAAGGGGAAAAGGCTCAGGTCAAAGGCAGAAAATGGAGAGGAGCCTAACCCTCCCTCATTTCTCTGATGAAAATAGGGACGCACCATTCCATAATGATAATTTTACTATTTATATCCCTCACATCTTTCTGTGTTGCCCCAGTCACTCTGGGCAGCTTCCAACAGATATAAAAACATAATAAAACATTAAACATAAAACTTCCCTATACAGGATTGGCTTCAGATGGCTCGGGGGTCAGATAACTCCATACTCCCCAACATTTCTCCAATGAAAACAGGGATATCTTGCCATACCTTCCAACATTTCTCCAATGAAAATAGGGACATCCTAAGGAAAAGTGGGACATTCCAGGATCAAATCAGAAACCAGGATGGCTTCTCTAAATCAGGGACGTCCCTGGAAAATAGGGATACTTGGAAGGTCTGGAAGACCTGGCTGAGATGTCAGAAGCTGAAGGGGCAACAGGGCTCAGTGAGCTGGGAGAATCTGTGGCAGAGAGCGGTTCAGAATCAGAGGAAGAAGCTGAAACAGGATAGTGGGATGAGGGAGGCCAAGAGGCAGAGATGAGTCCAGTCATGGGTGTTTTTAACCTCTGTTCAGGTAATCCTGTTTCAGGTTGGTTGCATCTTTTAATTTTACTGGCTTTTATTAAGGATGCTGTGCCTGGTTTTACATTGAGAGGACTTCTGCCCTCAAGCATAAAAAACACACGCTTTAGGCCACACCCACACAATACATTTAAAGCTCAGCGATACGACTTTAACAAGTCATGGCTTCCCCCAAAGGATTATTGGAACTTTTAAAGGAATCCCCATAAGGACATGGGTGTGGGGGCATTCCACTCACCCCTCCATACAATTCCTCAGGAAGAGACCACATAATGTTGTTATCTACAGTCACTTCCTGGAAGCATTTAAAAGGCAATTTTTTGTCACATGGCCACAAAGCTGCTCTAAGCAACATAAAAAGTTTAAAAGGAGAAAGGAAGGGGGGGGGAGGAAGGAAGGAAGGAAGGAAGGAAGGAAGGAAGGAAGGAAGGATGAAAAGAAAAGAAAAGAGGCAGCCCTTAGACCTCCTTATAAGTACAGATCCATGCACAGTTTTCTCAATTGATTATGCAGCTTAATCCATAGATCAGTATTCTGATCCATTCATGTATCCAAGAGGGTGTGAAATGAGGAGGCTGACTCGAAAATAAGGAACGAACTGGAATTCTCTATATATTTAAAGCACTATGATACAGCTTCCGAGGGGCGGCGCGAACGGCAATGGCGGTCCTCTTCTGAAAGGGAGAGGAGGCTCCGCAGAAAACGGGTCGTCCGCTACGGCGAAGCGGAGACCCACTCTGGAAAACCCCAGGCAGCAAGAGCTTGGGGTCCTGAGGCTCGGTGGGCGCCTTAAGTGACCCTCCAAACGCAGAAGGAACCTCGTAAGGGGCTCCGGAGCGTGGAGGGGGGTTGCGGCGCTGAGAGCTGCTTCACAGTCTGCGGAGTGAAGCCGCGCTGCTGCTGCCGGTGAGCGCTGATCCTTTTTCCTGCTAAAACACGGATTCGGACGAAAAGCAACTTACTCGTGAGTAAAGACTGAATCACTTGAAATCAGAGACTTTATATGAAAAACCTTAAATTGGCTTGAACTTGGCTGAAAGCGGAGAGACGTGGAAACAGGAAGTCCGTCTTCCGCAGCCATTGAACTTGAAAAAAGCAACTAAGTTGGAGGAGTGGAGGCTGAAAGGAAGAGATTTTAAACTTTACAGATCTAAGCATCTACTGAACCTGCAATTTAAAGTAAAGACTTTAAGCTAAAGACTTGGAATTTTAACTTGCACTTGACTTTCACCCTATTATTGGATTACAAATTAGAAGGTGAAACCCAGAGTCAGGAGCTGCCTGAGCAT